TAAATTAAACAAAAGAATGTTGTGAAAATTAAATAAAGAACATATAAATATTATTTAATTAAAATTGAAAAAATTAAATTTTTTTCATAAAGAAAAAGAATTAAAAATGATTTTAAATAAAAAAATTTATAATATGAACAAAAGAAATAAAAAATAAATAAATGAGGAAAAAATAAAAAACGAAAAAGATATTTCCATGCATCCTGCGATAATCCAATGAACCAAAAGATTGGATTTCACCAAATACTTCAAATCTTCAACCAGTTTTGAAAAATTTACAAGTTTGACACTAATATCTTTAATTTGTTAAATCATTTAATTTTTTTATAATATGAAGAAAAAAGAATTTGAATCATAAAACGAAAAGAAATTTAAATCAAACAAAAAATTGTTTATAATATGAATGATTTTTTAAAACAATCTTCAAAAAATATATAATAAAAACAAACAAATAAAACAAAAGAATGTTGTGAAAATTAAATAAAGAACATATAAATATTATTGAATTAAAATTGAAAAAATTAAGTTTTTAACAAAGAAAAAGAATTAAAAAGGTTTTTAATCGAAAAAAAATATTTATAATATGAAGAAAACAAATAAAAAATAAATAAATGAGGAAAAAAAAAAGAAAAAGAAATCTCCATGCATCCTGCAATAATGTAATGAACCAAACGATTAAATTTCACCAAATACCTCGAATCTTCAGTCAATTTTGAAAAATCTACAATATTGACGTTAATAAAAATACAATAAATACAAAACTCGTGCAACGTACATGTAAAAAACTAGTCTTTAATAAAAAAATTCATAAATATATCTGTATTTACAGAAATATGCTCAAGAAATTGTGCAGTTCATTTTGCAGTATTATAGTTTGAAGATTGAAGAGGTCCAAAAGTATCCTATATAGAAAGAAATTACTAATTCAGATATATTTAATGGTGTATTTCTCAAAAATTAAGCCCCTAAAATGAAAAATATGACCGTTATCCATCACATGAAGCCACTAAATTTGAATTTACTATATTTTTCATTTTACAAAAATGAGAAGCAAACGCTCCCTAAATAACAAGTTCTGTTAAAGAAAGTATACATGTAAGATGAAAGTAGTTACTACTTAATGTCGGGACTTTTCATTCATTGTTAGCTTCGCATGTCCCCCCCCCCCCACCAGGGTGGCAAATTGCTTAGCTCCGCCTTCGTTTTGTTTTGCCCAATTTTAATTTTCTGATTAGTCGATTATTAAGGCGGAGATAGAAAATGTGGTCATTGTTTTGCACGGTTGCACCCGACTCTTATTTTTTATATTTTAACCGTGTTTTAAAGATATTAGAAAATTAAATAAATAATTATATGAAAAATATATGGGAATGGGAGATTTTTTTTAATCTTCGTCTCGCTCAATTATTATCCCTATTTCACATTGATCTCTCCCTCTAAAAATGAGTAAATTGGTTCCTAACATTTTATTACTAAACATTTGCACTTAATTTATCAATAAATCTTTGAATTTAACCACAGCTGTGTCTAAAATTAATGAGCATTGACCAACACCAGGCCCAGTCCTGTGCAGAGGCCAATGAGCCTATTGCCTCAGGCCCAAAACTGAAGGGGCTTCATTTGGCCCCTTTTTTTTATTTTTATTTTTTGGTGTGAAATGATGTAAAAGGAACATCGGTATTTTTTTATTTTTTTTTGAATTAGGCTTTTTCTCTTCTTCCTTCTCTTTCGTGCCCGTCTTCTCCTCTTCTTTGTTCTTCGCCACAATCAGCAAGCAGTGGTTAACAAGGTCAAAAAAAAATTTGTGGGTGCCTAATTTAGAAACTTCACCTCGACCCCTGACAATCACAAGACTTGTCCTGACCAACACGAGGAAGGATGGTGGTGGGAGAAGCAAGAAGCACAACCAGCACGTGGGCAGGGGAGCGTGGTGGAATGAGAACTGGTGCGGAAGCGTTTAGGAATGATTTTAATTAAAATTAAGAACTATATTGAACAATTTTGTCTTCTATATATTGAACATCAATTTATTGTTATCAAAAAATTAAGTGTACAATGCCTCTATAGGCAATATTATTCCCTACTTCTACTAATACTAGGAAACTAAAATAAGAAAACTAATAAAATTCTAATCAATAAATAAACTAGAAATCCTGTTCTAAACTAAACATAAGAATAAAAAGATAAAATCTATTGCAACTAGATATCTTATTTTAAAATCTTACAACTAAATATTTTATCATAAAATCTAACTTTTATCCTATTTACAATAAGATTGTCTTAAATCAATCTCTTCCACTTGCCAAAAATAAAAAATAAAAAATAAAAAAATAAAAAAAACCACCCTCGAGTTTTGTTGAAGAAAAGAATCCCTAATAACTTGTGTGTATTAGAATTTAGCTAAGACATAAGGAAATTTTCTAGCCACCTGTTGTCATGTTCTATGCTTGTTAAAACAACCAACATTTATAGTAGTTAAAGTCTACAAATTCTTATCAATTGCATCTTCAAACATATCTATCATTTGTTCCAAATTCTAGAGTGAGGTTGATTTTGCAATCCTCTGATCATCATCTTGAAGATGTGTACCACTACCACCACAAGTAGCCATCAACCAAGGGCAAATCTTGCTCCGATACCAATTTGGTGCACTTGATAGCCCAAATGATATTATCAACCACTCATAGAGACCATCTTTGGTTTTGAAAGCTATTTTCCACTCATCGCCAATTCGAATACGAATATGATGATAACCACTCCTTAAATCAGGTTAGCGAATACTACTGTACCTCTAACTTGTCGAGCATATCATTAAGACGCAGGATAGAAAAGAGATGCTTGATCGTTATTTTATTAATAGCACACCGTCTATACTCATTCGCCAATTGCCATCCGTCTTTGGAGTGAGTAAAGAGAGAATTACACAATGACTCATATTCTCACGGATCAACCCTTTATCAAGTAACTCATTAACCTGTCATTACAACTCTTTATGTTCAATTGGGCTTATGCAATAATGTGGCAAGTTAGGCAAACTAACTCAAGTTGCCAAATCAATATGATGTTGAATGTTTCGCATAGAAAGCAACTCGTTAGGTGCTATCTCAATAAAATCAACAAGTACCTTCTTAATTTTGGTGGAAATATGTATAGTTGCTTCTAGTTGACCTTTAACTACTAATGCTAATAATTCTGATGAAGAACTTAATTTTTATTGATTAAACAATTATTGATTGTTATTTATTTATTTTTTCTAGTTTTCAATAAATTTTTCACGTGAATAAATAAATGACAACACTTGAAATTTAGAGTTTATGTACTTGAGCATGCTAGTTCTTCTTTGATCGTCTAGCTTGATAGCGAAATAAAAATATTGATAAGGGACGAATAAGCATTTTCATTCGTCACTATTCTCATTTTAGAAACTATGAAATAATTCTTTTTAAAAACTGTATTGACTATTGAGATAAAATGATAAATTACAATAAGTTAGGAAATACGAAATATAATTTATTATATTTTTCACCTTGACAAATGATGTGCAAGTCTTTTCTTATCTATTTAATTTTCAATGATGTATTTAGATCCAAGATTCAATTCAAGGACCGTATAAATTTTGTTAGAGAAATGTGTAATTATCAATTTCGCGAAATCCTTCCTTTGAAATGGTATAATTTTTTCAAGAAAGCAAGTGAAAGAACGAAAGATATTTTTCAAAAAATATAAGGTGATAAGTTTGTTTTATGTATTCTTGAAGAACTTCATCTTCATCGTAATAATGTGATTTCAATTGAATAACTTAAAAATAAAAAGGTAAATAAAAAACATTTAATTTTGATGGTTTGAGCTGTTGGGAATTGATTGTGCAAATAAAATAAAAGAATTAGTAACCACCTTATTCATTTTTATTTACATTTGGGATAGCAAATGATTCCAGTGTGCGTCCTTTTCATTAGCATAAGACCGATGTTGGGATCAAATATCTGTTCTATTGCTTCAATAAGTTGTCAATCACATATCGTTTATCAATAATTCCTGGTTAAGAATGCCAAAATGTACAGTATGTTTGGATCAAATGTAACACAAATTCAATGCTTTAACATTATAGTTTGATGTTTTCGAAACCAAAGAGTGCACTGGCAAACTCAGCAACAGCTATTTCAGATTCTTTTCATCCATTTCGAAACAAGAGTACAAGAACACGGGAAACATATAACAGCAGCCCGACAAAAGCAAAAAAAATAAAATAAATTTAATAATAATAAATTCCCAGCAGCAGAAGCTGTAGAACATAATGCCATCAGAATCCATCACAAAAATAAAGCAGATTTTACATTCCCATATTTTCCTACCACATAACATTGATGTTTCTGATGTTTAGTAAACGAAAAGGTAGGATTAAAGTAGCCCAAAAAGTTTCAGTTCCTTCAGTCAACTATTATGGCTGTGCGTTCTTCTTGTTTGTGTCCTTTCCACTCCCAACCTCGAATAAATTGTGACGAGAAGCTTAAGGCTGCAGACGCTTCAATTTGTTAGCCAAGCAGTAACTTTAATTTGTGATGCGAAGCCTAAGGCTGTTTCTTTGGAATTGATTCCAATTTGATTCTTTCATATTTCCACATGGCTCCAATAAGATTTTCTTTCCTTAATTTGCAAAATACAACTTTGATTCCCTTTCCTTTTGTCTGCCACTTCCAAAGACTCCTAATTTGAGTCACAAATTAACAATTGAAACCAGACATGTACAGAGGATTTGCATTCAAATTGGACGGTTGCCCAGACCTGTATGACGAATTAGCTTGACTGGGATAAGGAAGGTTAACATTGAAACCAGATCCATTGTTGTAAAATGGATTTGGAACCAACAGATAAGAATTCTTGGTTACCAAATTCCATACAACTCCAGCGTGCTCTGGATTCTACATTTTACCATTTAGAAATGATAAAATATTGAGACAAAATTTAAAATAGCCTTAAAATAATTATCCATTTCAGACTTACGTGTACACATAAAGACAAATCTTCCTCCCTATATAAATCCAGAAACCTTATATTCTATTTCCCATCTCTTGCTTTCGTTCACAGTCACAACCGATTCCCTGATCTAGGGTTTTACAATGCAGTCTGAAACCAGCAGAAAATTTCGACCTGAGGATTATTCGCACGAAAAACTTTATTATGATGATTGCTATAAGATAGTCGGTCCTGATTATGTTTTCCACCCTAGTGATGTTCAAATTATTGTAGATTACTTGATCAAAAAAATCAAGAACCAGGATATGCCTCTCCATTGGATTAAACTTGCTAATGTATACGAGATCGACCCAGAGAAACTTGCTGGTGAAATCATCTCTTTCTTTTTCATATTTATTTGTTTCTTGGATATTTTCTGGTACAATATTAATTATTTTTTCCCTCAAATTTTATATATGTTAGGAAGATAATTTTTCTTTTATTTGAATTTAACCTTCGCATTACAGATGAATATGGGCAGACTACAATGAAAATTTGGTACTTTTTTACAATAAGGGATAGAAAATACCAAAATGAGAAAAGAAGTGTATCTACAATTGATGGGTATTGGCAAGTAGAAGGAGATGATGAAAACATCAAAGAAAATGATGAAACCGTTGGATTTCGAAAGAAATTTCAATTCTATAAGGGAAAATCTGAAAGCAGTACTAAGACATGTTGGATTATGTATGAATTTAGAGCAATTGATCCTTTGCCCCCGAGATACAGTCATGTTGAAGGACAAACCAAGGTACCTTTTTTACTTTATAAAATTAATTCTGAATTAGTGTTTGAATTTATAAATTACTCTATTTTCACATCTTACAGTTGGAGAAGGATTGGGTTTTGTGCAAAATATGCAACACTGAGATTGATTCAGAATCAGGCGAAACGGCCGAAGACCCAGATTATGTCACCGATGAGGAAGAAGCAGCTCCATGAAGAAGAATATGTGGGATGTTTATTTGATGTTTGTTTGCTATCAAGTTTCTAAGTAAAAGATTTTAATAGGTTATGAGTATTATCCAATTTCTGTAGTTGACTGTTTGTTCGTTCATCTTAAAAGCATTCCTCTGCTTAGAATAAGATCCCATCTTGTTTTATTGATTTATCATCTTATATTTCAGTAGGAATAATTCCCTTTTTTTATTTTTCAGACTTCCCAATCTCGAATCGACACGTGTTGGACCTATTTTTGAGTCTGATTTTGAATATGTTCCTATGGCATGGTTGGATTCGGCTCGTGTGGTACTAATTAAGTGAACTTTAATTTTGGTCATGTAAACTATAGCAATGCACTATGTTACACTATTAAGCCAGAATCAACCCACCAAAGTCGATTGCTCAAGAAAACACCTCACTATTTAGTATTTGGGTTGCCTCTTGTAAATAACCCACAAAGGAATGGTGGCTGCAAATCCACGAAGTAAGGGGGGAGAAAGGAAGCAATTGTTCAACACAAAGTCACCAAGAATCAATGAATCGGCTGCCTCATGTTTTCTCTCAATTTTGCACAATAAAACAACGGTCACCACACCAATTTATAAGTGTAGGTTAACAAGTAAATTGGCCAACGTCATGGCTTATAGGTGAAAGAGAGGTTATCCAACAAATAGTGGACGGGCTGAGCAATTTTAATTCTAATGTTGCTTGAAACGGTCCAAAACGTTTTTTAATCGATGCCAATCAATTTCGATGTTGATTTCGCTTTTCATTCTTCAACCAAAGCACATGAAAATAATTGTAACATCATTGCCCGCTCAAGGTTTATTTGGTATTAAAATACCTAATATTGACCTATGCACGTCTAGGCTTGAGGCTTCCTTTTGCCTTATTATTTAGGAACATTTAGATTGAACATAAAAACTCTAACTACCTCGAAGCATTGTTGATTTTCTGAGTCAGCCATTGCAATTTATTGGGGGTACATCAATACATGAACAATGATGATTTTATGAAACATTACTCAATACTTTGCTAAAAATTCAAATGAATGTAAACTGTGTGCCTTTGGAGACCATGTAATATCTTTCATCATTCAAATAATAAGTCTAAAATTTTAGTAAACATATAATACAGTCACATATTGTAAATCAAGAAAATGCCTTCTAAATTTGATGATCACACATATTTAATTTACAAGCAAATCACCAACACAACTTTAGATTGTTGGAAAAATAGGTGATTTATGTATAGATATTTGTCATAATAAACATAATATTACTATATATAATTCAACTAGAATCATAACCATAAAAATTCAATAATAACATGAACATAAAATATAAATAGAGAAGAGTTAGAAATAAAGCAAGCATTGGAAGTCACGTCAAAGACGATGTCCTAAAATCGCCTTACCTCCCTTTCGTGCAGATTTTTTCGGTACTACATGATTTCAAGATAAAATTCATGTGGCTTACAATCGATTCTCTTTCTATGGGCACGACTATAAAGAGATAAGTGAACGAACCTCTCATCGAGTTGCCAAAATATAATATGAATTGTATAGAATGTTTATCTTCCAAGTTAAGATTTTCATGTTGTTTCCAAACTATAAAATTCCCTTCCTTTTTATAGTGTACAATTTATATTTCCACACTAATGAAAAATTAAACAATTTACAACATCCATTCAAATATTTGAGAGTGTGTTATTTTATAAATTAAGATTTTAATTAAACCAAAACTGAAAATTAAAAATGTAATAATTTTGAAAGTTGAAACTTAATATAATTTCCAACATATTAGCCAAGGTTGAACACAAGTATATGATAAAGTTTCTAGTAGTTTCTTGGTCAATTCTAGGTAGGGTGTTATGTGACCATACCCAGTGACGAATCTAGGTGGTGACGAGCTGGATTAGTCAAGGAGAATTTTATTATATTTTTTTTGCTGATAATAGATGGAACTTATAGATTATATATTTGATAATTCATATTATCAACAACCATATTTGGTAGCTCAGCTAGTTAGCCCTTTCACTACTGAATTGGAGGTCTTGTGTTCGGAACTTTTCAAGAGCAATATTTTTTATAATTTTTGTATTTTAACAATTTTTACCAAACTTTCCTTAAATTTATTAACCACTTTACCATCATGACATTTAGGGTCCGTTTGATTGCAAATATGAAATTTGGGTGGAAAGAAAATGAATTCCAAGGAATTGAATTGCCTAGAAATTGTTTTATTGGAAATTGTCAATTATTGTATTTGATTGGTATAATTTTTCACGTAAAAAATGTTGAAATAAACATATTTTTTTGTGTTCGTTTGATTTTGCTTTACATGAAATTGTCAATTGAAGGAATAAAATTTACTAGTATTGGGAATATAATTTGTTTCTATTGCCAAAAAAAAAAAAGGAAGAAAACCGTTTATCTTTTGTTATTCATTTGACTTTGTTTTACATGGAAATAGTCAAAAACATGGAAAATGAAATTGTATTTCCTAGTTTCATAGAAAATTGTTGCTATCAAACAGAGCCTTATTAATTTTTAGCACATAATGTAACAAAATGATATATGTTTAATTTTACTGATTTAATACAAGTAGAAACATTTTAACCAGTGCTTTATCCCTCTTCTTGATTTTCTTTTTCTTTTCCCTCTAATCAATTAATTTGAGAGTTTGATCAATTAATTGTAGATGAATTTGTAGGAAAAGTGGCCTTAGTGTCATAAGGAATCTTTCAACAAAACTTATTTAATTAATAAAAGGTTCAAATTTTCGTTCACAAAAAATCGATTGCGAAAAAGTCAAATTATACAAGCATATAAAATTGATATAAGCACATAAATAATTTCAATTTTATTAATATAATAATGCTTATTTAATTAATTTTAATTGTAAACTGAATATTGGCATTTTGTTAATATATATTGCCTATTTAATTGAAAAATAAATTTGGGCATTTTACAAACTATAGAACGATTTTTTCATCCAAAATGAAAGTTCGAACTTAGTTCTAGTTAGTGGTGTATCTAGTTTTAATCCGTACGATTTTTTAAATATTATTTAATTAAATATTAATAAACAACTCCGCTATCACGGACGTTGACCGTCGATAGTAAACTTTTAATGCTCGTGATCCGCCCTAACTGAACTCGACCCCTAAATTCGCCCTTAACCATACACTTACCATTGGAACATGAAAACTCTCTCTCTCGTTCTCTCTCGGCTAATGCTTTATTTAAGAGAAACGAGTAGGCTTATTTGTTCATGGTGAAGGTGAACATTGCGTGAATGGAAAATTCAGCATGGGAAAATGGGAAGGAATCAATTTCCATATTGGAGAGACCTTAAGAAATGGGAAGATTTATTGAAGAGGAAGACCAATAAGGGGGAGAAAAAAAAAAAAAAAAAAGAAAAAAAAAGGGGACGTGCAATATGAGTAGGACATCCTACAATGTGACATGCTAGTATTCGGTGTTCTATATAAAATATTAAAATTTGAATGCAGTCTTATTGAATAAATAAACAAAACTTTAATCTATAACTTGTTTGATCTGTACATACGTCTTATTTATTTCAAAAATACAGTTAATAATATTTTTTCTTAGAATTTATTTTCTTGAAGATTCCCATCAAACAAATGGAAAATTCCATATAATAGAAAAGATTCCAATTTCCATATTAATTAGGATACATTAATAAATATTAGTAGGTTCAGATTTAGAAAAAAAATCATGGTCCAATTAAGAAAAAGAACGTTATGCCCTTTGGATAGATTTTTAGCAGATTTTTTCATAAAAGTTAACAAAATTTATGGATTCCATAAAATGCGTAGTTGAAAATTATTTTAGAGAAAAATTAATTTTAAGAAATAGGGATCTTTATTACATATTTTCTGAGTGAGAAAAATTAATTTTAAGAAATAGTGGTCACACTCTCTCTCTCTCTCTCCTCTTGCGCTTTCACTCTCCATCTCTCTCACTTACTCTCCTCTTACGCTTCACTTACGCTTACATTCACTCATACACTTAACATAAACGCAAATCTTCCCCCCCATAAAAACTCAGAATCCCCTAAATTATTTCTCATCTCTTGCTTTCATTCACAACCGATTCCCGAATCTAGAATTTTACAATGCAGTCTGTAACCATCAGAAAATATCGACCCGAGGATTACTCGCATGAAAAACTTTATTATGATGATTACTATAAGATGGTCGGTCATGATTATGTTTTCCATGTAAACTCTATTTAAGCGATCTAAACATGCTTTAATCAACAAAATAGCATTTAGATCAATGCGGAATAAATTGGATCGAAAAAGGTACCTCCCGCCATTGTCGTTGTTCACACACTTTCTCAAGCTTGTAGGTGGTGTTTAACTTCGGGTTAAGGCTCTTCTAAGCCCTCGTTCTCACTACTTAGATGATGTATGCAGACTGAACGTGAAAATGAGCTTAGAGACCTTCCGAATGGATCTCAACGCCTTTAAAATGCTCTTCCCATCACAGAGCGGTTATGCACGTCCATGGGTGGTTACCAAACATGATTTTAAACATTGGGTTAACTGGTTTCATAGTGGGACATGGGATATGTGGACCACTCTTAAGTAGGTTATAATCCAACATTCTCCCACTTGGTCCATATATACCATCATTCATTATAATAAGAAACATAATACATGAATCATAGCGATATGTCCTCTAAAGCGAGTATTATCTTCCATGTATCACAGTGTATCATGTCTCGTAAACACCAATCCATATAATTTAATGAATAAACCCTATGTTTATTTAAGGTCCAAACTTAATGATATTTCTCAAGGTAGATGAATATACAATTATGTGCACAAAACAAATGAGAAAACAGCAACTGAATAAGAGTTTCATTAAAACATCAAATGTACATACAATAAAATTACATCACGGAACCAAGTCCCATTCTCGCTACATGATCCTTAAAATTCTTTGGTGGCATGCCTTTAGTCAAAGGATCAGCAATCATCAACTCAGTGCTAATGTGCTCAATGACCACTTTCTTCTCTTTAACACTTTCTCTAATGGCTAAGTATTTAATGTCGATGTGTTTACTTCGACTACCACTCTTGTTGTTCTTAGCCATAAACACAACAGTTGAGTTGTCACAGTACAATCTCAATGGCC